TCTTAAGTTGTAGAAATCACTTAGTTTTATTTTCTACAAATAGTGAAAAATAAAAATGTAGTCATAAATTATATTTGTATTTCACCTTATGATTGCAACAGCATGAAACTTATACTTGTAAATATCACGTTGTTTTAATTTTAACAATTATATGTATCCGACTAGCTTTATTTGATAGTAACTATATGAAATAGCATTACTACATATATATATATATATATATATATATATATATATATATATATATATATATATATATATATATTATATATATATATATATATATATATATATATATATATATATATATATATATATATATATATATATATATATATATATATATATATATATATATATATATATATTTATATATATATATATAAATATATATAAATATATATATATATATATATATATATATATATATATATATATATATATATATATATATACATATATATATATATATATATGTATATATATATATTTATATGTATATATATATATATACATATATACATATATAAATATATATATATATATATGTATATATATATTTATAAATATATATATATATATACCCAGCCAACATTGACATACGGGTACCGTACGGGGCCCATACGGGTCGTCCACTGGGTCCCGTATGGGAAGACCAACGGTATCCCGGCTGATCATGACCGCGGTTTCCATATGGGACCCATATGGGTTAGCCCGCCGGGTATCCCGTATGGGTCCCAGTCAAATCCCGTACTTTAAAACCGTAAGGAACCCATTTGGGTTTGCAAATGGGACCCATATGGGAAACCCATCGGGAACCCGCCGGATCATGGCTGCGGTTTTCTTCTGGGGCCCATATGGGTATGCCCGCCGGGTATCCCGTGAGGGTCCCACGAATTTTACCCATTGCAAATCTTGCAAAACTACGTTTAAATGTTTAAAATTTACAGAAAAAGCAAATTTATATATAAATTGATTGGTTTATTTCAAAAAAAAATAGTAATTAAAATTACACTGTCAAAATTAAGCAAACTTTTAAACGATTCTTTATTCATGTATCAAATGCTTTCACGTTTATCTCGGGAATCGGAAGCTTTTCCATTGTTGTTAAAACGACTTCTTTGAAAACCTCTTTACACGATATCTCGTTTCAATATGAACTGTAAAAAATTAAGTTTAACTGTTAGTTTTAAATTTTATTGGTAACACATACATTAATTTTAATATGTTATAAAACTCTTACAATTTCTATCAACTCTCTTCAGATAAAAAATGTAATTTTCACCATCAAAGGTACTTGTAATAGATAAGCACATGCTTAAGATTCATATAATAAATTGATAACATTTCTTTAGTTACTGATAAATAAATTATATAAAATTATTAAACAAATATATTTTTTTATTTATATTGTATATAACTTGATATATATTGTATATATCTTATATACAGTGCCATGGCTACTAGATACAAGCCCCCCATTCCAAAAAAAAACCTGTCATAAGGGCCCAAAAATTCCTAAAAACTAAATAAAAATCTAAATAAAAATCCTGAAAAAAAAAAATCCTTACATTTGTAAAAGGGCCCCTAAATTTGCAAATGAGCCCCCTAGACAAACATTTTTTAATTGATCTGAAAAAGTTTTGTATTTGAAAGAGGGACATCTATCAAGTACCTAAAATTTAACTCTATTATTTTCTATATGTGCTAATGAATAGACATTGTACACTAGTTGATCCTTATGAAAAAGTTCACATATAAAAATAAGTAGCTGAAAAGCAAAATTAACATATTTTTTCAACAAAATGAAACATTATGAAAGTAGAACTACAACTGAAAAATCTAAAAAATTGAATACATTTTTGGCTTAACCATTCCCTTTAAACAACTGGTCAAGTTTTTACTATAAATAGTCTAAGCTCAGTTGTTTTCCATTTTTTAATATTTAATTAAAACCTTGATTTTCTATAAAAATTTCTTGGAATGTAATGACGTATCTGGAACAATCCGCCAGATAAAGTATTGACTGTAATCTGAGACAATTTACAACATTTGGGCAATTTAACCATAAGTTGAGAAATCTTCGCATTACCCCTAAGCATACTAGATGCATTAAGTCTAAAGGAAACTTTGTTACCATGTCAAAATTTAATTCAATTTAACACACCACTAAGATGTTTAGAATGCTTTTAATGACAAAAAATCTGAATCAGTGCTCAAAATTAGGGAAATATGAAGGAGAATTATCTTGCCACACCACTCTCCTTTCTAAGCACAACATTCACATCAGTTATAACTATTGTGTCCTTTAATACACTTTACAAATGCTCTAGCTGGTGCATCACATATGATAACAGCAAGATTGATTTTAAACTCAATATTTTCATAGATAAAACTATCTTTTGCAAGAACTTTGAAATCTACCAAAAAATTATGTAGACAATTAAGGTGACCTGCTATTCTCATTTACTGATTTTTTTACTCTTTTCTCACAAACCGTACTTTTTTCAAATCCTGTACTCTGAAAGTACTCATTTGTATAATTTTGTACTCATTTGTATTTCTAAAACATTTTTTTTTTATATTATTTCCTTTTAATTTTATTAATTAAATATTTAAAATTATTTTGACAGTGATTAGAATTTCATGCTCACATATTGCTAGCCGTTTCCAGCACATCAGAGGACAGGGCAAACACCAGATACAAGTTTGACAGTGATTTAAATTTTGAACGCACATATGGCTGCCATTTTTAACACAATTGAGAGGCCGTATTATGAACCTGGAGAGATAGATAGATAGATACTACAGACCTCTTTTTCTAACAATGTCAAAATTACATTTGTGAAAAGAGATGGATCCAATATTTGCATATGTAATCCTCAGGCTGATCTTTGATGTGCAGTATGTATGCCATGCTTGACAGTCTTGAGGCATGCGTAGTATGTACAGCAAAGTTTTTAATCCATTTATTTAATTAAATAAAAGGATAACAAAAACCTTACTGTACATACTACGCATGCGATTATGGTTAATTAACCATAAAATCAAAAATTACAAACTTAATTATAATTTACAAATTTATGTTTGGTGTCACTCATGTTAAAAACAAGTCAATGGAGCAACACCTTCATAAAATAAACAAATAAAATAAAAAATAAGAAAGAAAGAAAACTACATTAATAAAAGTAATAAAAAAAGAAGTATAAGGAACAATACTATTTAAAAAGTTGGAATTAACACAAAAATATAAAAGAGTAACGCTAAGAAAAATGAAAAAAAAAAGAGAAAATGAACGGATGAGATAAGATGAGTGAGAAGATATGTAAGAGAAAACAAAAACTTAATCACATAAGTTCAGAAGGATAAAGTGACAGAAAAATTTTTTTGCAGAAAATATAAAAAAACAAATTAAAGGCAAATTTAAATAAAAATATATATACATACACTACTATATACAATATTAAAGGCTATATTAAAGCCTATAAACTGACCGCTTTGGAAGATTCCAATCCCGGGAAAGAAAAAAAAAATTTTTAAAGAAGTTAAAAATTTTTATAAAATTTGCTATGAGTATATCGAAGAATGGATAATGAACTTTAGAGCATTGAATTGTTTTAAATGGACCATTATAAATAGAAAAATTTAATGGAAAAAAGTTTCCTCAGCAGTCGAATTTGTAATAAAGGAAGTAAAAGATATTGTTATTAATGACAATTTTCTTTTTGAAGAAATCGGAAGAGTAAATTTATTTTTAAATGAAGAAAAATTAAAGAAATGGAACAATGAGAAAATAGAACTTGAAATAAGATGGGTAGAAATCTTTCGGCATTTTAGAGTAGAACATATCCCACATAAAAATTTAAAAGTTTTAACAGAAATTTCTTTATGTTGTCCAGGCACTAATGCTGCTGTTGAAAAGGTACTTTCACTAAGGAATGATTATTGGAGCAGTGAGAAGTTGCAACTTTCTGTAAAAACATTATATGCCGTCTTAACAGTCAAATTTAATATGAAATTTAATATGTTTGGATGCAGCTGCATTATTAGACATACATACTCATCTAGCAAAAAAAATCCACTCTGACGAAAAATATGTTTTAAAAAAATAATAAAGTTTTTTATCGTTTTATCTACCTTTTTTTTTTACCTATGAAATACTTGCAAAGTGTACTCTTTTTGAACAAAAGATAGTTGGTCCCCTTAAGATAATTAAAAATGGAATTAGATTTTTGGGCACCACTTTTTAAACAAATTTCTTAAAACATAATTTGGGTCCCCTAATATTGTAAGTCCTAGGCCTAGGCTCTGATGGCAACATTTATAAATAGTAACAACTTTTGGCAAATTTTATTTAAAATTTACATGTATGTTTAAATTTTGTCACTATTTTAAATTTTCATTGAATAAATTCCTATAAAAAAATATATTTTATATAAAATATTTATGGAGTATTATTCTCTTTTACTATCAGCTATCAAGATGATTAAACTGACTTGATCAGCTTCAGCATTAATCTGAAGCTAATAAGTTTATAGCTGAAGCTGAAATATCAGCTGCAACCTCAACTTTATAGACAACATAGTCAATGTGATGTATACACATTATAATAATAAATGTGTTTTTTTTTATACTCAAATACTTATTTTTTTATTTTATGATACATTTAAAATTTCTTTTTTAAACACATGTTTTTTTATAATATTTAATACTTAGGAAATACTGACTTTTGCCGAATATTCTTTAGATAAAAATAATATTTACTTACATTACTCTAATCGAGGTTATAAACAACGGTAATATTTACTCAAGTTATTATATTTGTCCCCCAAAGTTAATGTAGCTCTATTATACATAAGTCTCTCACTAATTCTAATAATAAAAAGTTATTGCCATTATTACTATAATTATATTTACTAACCTGTTATTATTAATATTTATCAAAAACACATTCTGGTTGTTGAAGTCACTTTTACTCATATCAATATGCAAATATTGTCAACAGTCAGAGTGCACCATGCAGAAACATTCTTTAACATGCTGCAAATACAAGATATACATAAGATACATATCATATAAGACCTATTGCCTGGATATATAATATATTTATATTGTTTAACTTACTGTAACTCAATTATAATAAATAAGCATATGGCTATAATCTATATAATAACTAACATCTTTTTTTAGTTATTGTTATTTATGTAAAAGTTATTAAGTTAAATTAAAGTAATATAACTAAAGTTTGAATGCAAAAATTTATATCAATAAAAATTTTTATCAGTATTATAAACATAATTATTATATTACAAGTATTTACAAGTATAGGTATTGTAAGTATATGTTATTATTATGTATATTATGAAATTATTGTTTATATTGCAAATGTACAATTTTAAATCAAAATCAAAAAATATCAATGATTAAAAAATGAGGTTGATGCATAACAATAAAGCCATATTTTTGCATTTAAACATCTAATTATATCTTTATTTATATCTGACGGTGGGTAAAATTTGTTAACATCAGTCATTTTGCTTGCATAAAATATAGAAAAATCAATGGAAAAGAGTGGATCTGTAAAAACGATTTAAAAGCTTTTAATTACCTAAATATAACCTATCCATTACATTCTATTCGTCTGTTTGCTCTTTTTAAATGTTTCTGACTAAACTAATATTTTGATTAAACTTAAACCATTTATTATCTAATTATATCACTAGCTGCTAGTTTGCACTTTTAAAATCATTTTAAAAATGATCAAAATATAAAGTTTGTTTCTGCTAGTGACTAGCAGAAACAAAACTTTCTATTTTGATCATTTTAAAAATGCAAACAGTGTCTCAATGGAACATTTACTACATGTTTAATAGTTTCTGGAACATATGTTCAACAAATATGTTGAACTTTGTAAATTCATTTAAAAAATAGTATACATGTATATATATTTATATATAAAAATTCTTTTATAATGATAATAAAATAAATGAAATTTTAAAACAACGTCTTTTTAACTGAGTTTTACAGCGACAAAACACATAACAAAAAATTCTTTTTAATTACAATGTAAATATAATGTATTCAAAAAATGTAATGCATAAAAGTTAAATTTTTAATCTTATTTCACGCACAATACCAATTAAAAATGGCAACCATCGAGTAAGTTTTGTTATGATTTTTTTTAAACCTTTTGGGAACCTTATGGGAAACCCGTCAAATTCCCCAGGTTATTCGGCCCTGATATAAACCAGATAAAACCCTAACGAGCAAATATGCTTGATTTTATTACCATATGGGACCCGTCTGGAAACCAAAACACTTACCCGTCAAAATCCCGTTCCCGTAAGCCCAGACAAAAACCATACGGTACCCGTCTGTCAATGTTGGCTGGGTATATATATATATATATATATATATATATATATATATATATATATTATATATATATATATATATATATATATATATATATATATATATATATATATATATATATATGTATATATATATATATATATATATATATATATATATATATATATATATATATATATATATATATATATATATATATATATATATATATATATATATATATATATATATATATATATATATATATATATATATATATATATATATATATATAATCATATATATATGTATATATATATATATATATATATATATATATACATATATACATATATATATATATATATACATATATATATATATATATATATATATATATATATATATATATATATATATATATATATATATATATATATATATATATATATATTCATATATATATATATATATATATATATATATATATATATATATATATATATATATATATATATATATATATATATATATATATATATATATATATATATATATATATATATATATATATATATATATATAAATTAAATTTGTAAAAACAGTTTACTTTCTTTTAATTGTCTTTAACAGCATGTTTCACCATCAGTAGGTTTATCAAGAAAAATGACTTAACGTCAAAATGTTTAAATTATTGAAAAATTATTTCACATGACGTTGAAAGTTATTACATTACATAATGTATTACCTTATAATTACATTAATTTCATAAGAAAACTTAGAAAACATGAAAATTAATCTTTTGATCTAAGGTAGTTATTAATTGGTCATTTGTTTTTTAAATTTTGTAAACCCAGTAAGCACAAAGACGTTTAAAAGACGTTTTAAAGATATCTTTAAGGAGGTCTAAAATGCGCACTTGTAGACGTCTAAATTATAAGGCTAAAAGACGTCTAAATGAAGACCTCTTTATAAAAACGCGTTTTAGACGTATTTTAGACGTTTTTTTCAAAATGAATTTAAGTACATGACGTAACATTTTCGCGTAGTATGTGGTATATATTCATTGTATTTATAAAATCATATATTGTTATAATTTCGTATATACAAAATATAAATAGGAATCAGCAATCAAAATAATATTGCTGTAATCACCACAAACGGTTGATGCATCAAGGATGAAAATAATATATAACAATAACAAATATATATCAAACAGTATTTTAAACATTTATAACTTACCTTTAATTATAATAAAGTTTATCGTATGTCTTGCTAGCTAATTTTTGATTGCATACTTGAATTATTATATGGCTTGTGGGTGTATAAAAACTAAAAATACTGATATTTAACATATATATTAATGTTGCCATTTTCACTTATTATCATGATCAGTCAACTATCTATTAAAAAAGCAAAATAATTATTAATAAAAAAAAAGATATATTAATATTATAGCAATTATTTTAGTGATTGCTGTGACAACAATTTTAGCAATTGTGTAAAAAAGTAATTTAATTTAAAGTAATTTACACTTAAAACTTAAACAAATTATTGAAAATAATAAAAACTATGTTTTTACTTTGAATATACGACATCTACTTAACGCGTAATGACAAAGCCGTCAAAAAGAAGTCATAATGACATATTTATAAACAGGTCTCAGGAAAGACGTCTTTTTGCCTTGATCTAGACGTCTTTTAATGCGTCTTTCAGACTATTTATTATGCGTCTTTTAAACGTCTTTTTAAACTTTAAAAAGACGCATTTTAAACGTCATTTTAAAATTGCATTTATTAAAGACGTCTAGAAGATGTCTTAAAAAAAGATATCTTCTAGACGTTTTTTTAACGCTTAAATAGACGCCTTTTAAACGTCATTATAAAAACGCATTTATAAAAGACGTCTAGGAGATGTCTTAAAAATTGACGACTTCTAGACGTCTTTTTATCTTTTAAAAAGACGCCTTTTAAACGTCATTTTAAAAACGCATTCATAAAAGACGTTTAAAAGATGTCTTCAAAACGTCTATAAAAGTGCGTCTTTACCTAGACTAGTTTTAGACGTCTATAAGTGTCTTAAATGCGTCTTGTGCTTACTGGGAAGAAACAATGCTTTCGTAAATAAGATTTTTATAATAAGCATTTTCCATTCATTGAGCAGTAAATTTTTTGCTTGTAGTTACAATTCTCAGTATTTTTTTTTTTTAAGAAATTTATTTCTATTAATTAGTTCAAAATTATAGCCATTTAATTATTATAATATTTTGAACTGCTATTTTTAATTCTTATAATATTTTGAACTGCTATTTTTAATTCTTATAATATTTTAAACTGATATAGATCAATTTTTAATTTTTTTTTTTAAAAGTTTTGTGGAATTTGTTAAAGGAAAGCAAATGTTTAACTACTATGTTTAAAAGCAACTTTTTAATACTTGCTGAAAAATTTATTCTGTTCAAATTTTATTTTTATTTCTATTTAACTTTTTTGCAATTTTTGTCCAAAAAATAACTTAAATTTTTTAAATTCGCTGATTTTAAGACCATCTTTATACACGCGTTCTGAAAAGTGAAAAATATTTTTATAAAAAAGTATTACTTTAGTAAACAATAAAAACCCTTAATTCCGGAGGGTTTAGGACTTAAATTGTCATAACTAGCTCAATATAAAGAACTTTAAAATATTTTTTTTTAATAAATAAACTTCATAACAAGAAAAATCAAACATTACAAAAAATAATATTTTTGCAATATAAATCTATCTTTTATTTTATTTTTAAAAAATATTGTTTTTATCCGGAATTAGGTGTTTATGTCCCTATTTCCGGATGCGTATAAAATACAGAAAAATACATACACAAATAATACTAACATTAAAATAATTATTTTAATCCATTAAAAAAAATGAAATCGTTTAAATAAAAAAAGAATATATACTATTTTATACACATTCGTTACAAATAAATTCCATGGTTGGACGATAATCAAAGATACATTCAATGCATGACCAATTTAAACACTGCTCACACGCAAGCCATTGGTTATCTAAGTTATTTTCCAAATAATGTCGCAAGAATAACATAGAAGATCATCAGATACTAAAATTTTATTTGAAGCTTGAGGAAAATGAGGCTCTTCTAATTGATTCTTTGTCTTTATACCTTTTTTACCTGGTATTTTAGACAACTGACTTTGTTTCAACTTTTTTTTTTTTTTCTCTTTTCTGTGCATTTTTCGCTTTTTGAGTAGTAGTGGAAATCTTTTTTTGTTCTCTAGTCAATTTCTTTGCAGCTTGTTTATCTATTTTTTGTTTTTTTTTTCATGCTTGTTCAGCTTCATTGTAAGCTATGGTATCCGCCAAAGTCATATTAGAAATAGATGGTTGCTATATTCTCTCACTTTATTGAAATCTTTTATTTAGAGTTAGTGTCAATTGATCTTGAAGCATATTTAACACTGATTTGTTTATATCTTTGCCCACTTGCTTTTAAGCAAAAATTCACAATTTGACATTCTTTACGGTGTGTTAGGAGTATTGGTAGCATTTCCCATAACTAATGGACTAGATACTGTTGAAGAATCAAATAAATTATTAATATTGTTGTTTTCGACAACTTGAAACACAGCATCAATATAAGTTTTTTTAGAAGAAATTTGTGAACGATCGTGTGGAAATATACAAGTA